TGTTACTGCATGCCACACCCAGCAAACGTTCCATCATTACGTAGTGCTCTTTGGAACTAGCACACTCAGACACTCAGTAAGAGCTGGAGATTTACGTTGAGCCATCCGGTAACCTTACATTCCCACACAGTACCATTCCCGCGTGTTCAGTTAATTTAACAAGCCCGGCATTTTGATATACATGGGGCAATTTAATACAATTTTGCTAATTCATCTATATTGTTTTGTTCTGTGTTATTGATTGTGCTATGTTATTTGGACGATGGTATTCTTCTGTAACTATAATATAAGAGATGTGATTTTGAAATACATCATGTGAAATTATTATCATGAGTACTAGTTTGTGACGAACATTTTACTTCGCAAATGATTTAATTAATAGACTTGGTTTGATAATATGTGTGGATGTTGGTGTGAGTGCGTGTAACCAATATAGGTCATATTGTGATATCTGTGCTCAGAAATGATTATTTTGTTCGATTGTGTGCAGGTGACTTGAGGTCAGGCTTAATCAATAGCGAGGACCGGGACTATGCTCAGGAGTAGAGGTCTGATATGGTCGAGATACCTTGTGAGAAGGTAACTAGAGTCAGAATTTTTGGAGGTCAATTTCGGCCAACGGTGGAATTAAGACTAGACTTAGGGAGGAGTTACGATCCAGACGATTAAGGATATCGGGTGAAGAAGTTGAATACGAGATGGTAGACGGTGGATGAATACCATGTAGAAGAGATCTTCATAACGGGCTTTACGATGTGTGCGTGCAAGCGTCAGTGTTAGTGAAGGAAATTGGTCGAACAAAACAAAACGGAGGAAGAGTATATGGCGCTACAGCACATGTGGTACAGTAGCAACATGTATGAATGCGTTCGATGCACATGGGCTTGGGTCAGCTCGTGTGTGTGCAGTTGCTTAGGCATGTTGCCCATGGAGCAGCAAGCTCAGTTGGTGGGCTCGGTGATGGCTACTGGAAGTAGTTGGGCTCGTGAGTGTCGGCCCATGTGGAGGGGTCACGGCCCACGAGCGTAAGCCAGCAGGACAAAAAAGGATGTGGAGAGGATTTCTGTACGGCGCGTTGGAGACTGAGAGGGACATGTGTCTAGCGTGGATTGGAGCGCATACGTGAGGAGTTCTATCCGGTTTGGATCTTCTATGGCCGACTGCAGTCCAAGGAGAAAAGGAGAAAAAAAATAGATAAGGGAATATTAGTAAATTGTAATTTGATTTGGATTATGAGGGATTGAGTCCTATTGTGAATAAGAGTTCTATACCTACTTTGTGTAGTAGATTTTAGAAGTATATCGACTTTTAGAATAAAAAAATAGGATTTGCTTCGAGATTTAATTCCTAGTTCATGAGTTGAGAGAAGAGTGCTATAGATGCACTTTGTAAACACATATTGATGTAATGAAGTTGATCTATTTTCAATAGTATCGTCGATACGTGTTTTTCTGAATCCCGACAATTTGATTGGAGTTTATTGGGTGGTCTAACCGGCGGCGAGAAGGCAGAAGAGGGAGGCAGCGGTCCAACTGGCCGGACGACACCGGTCAGACCGGCAACAAGGTTGCGGTCAGTCCGGTGTGCACAAGTTGGTCAGACCGGCTACGCCGATGACTTCATCAAGTTGATGTTCCAACCATCGATCACCTCCCTTTTGGTTGGTTTGGTTTTTGTATTCGATCCTACACATCAACTATCCTGTTCAATTAATCAATCTGATAACAATGTAACCTTAAACTTGCCCAAGCCAATCTCAAACATAGCTAGAACAGAGTTGAGTGAATATTACTTCTTATGAGCACATCCTTGGGCAACCAAGAGACCATGCATCAAGAGAAAAGGTTTAGACGAATAGTGTCCAGGCAGTTTGACAGCACCTCCGACAATTAACAATGGCCAATTGGCTTGAATACCCTGGGAATGCATTGACAAGGTATGTATAAACAAGGTATTAATTCTCACAAAGCAATTGAGCAAAGATACAATCTATGGAAATTGAAACCAATAAGGTAATATGAACTGGTGCTGTGTGCATACTCTCTTCATTCTTCATGATTTTCTAGGTTTGTTACAAAGTTCATGTATAGCTACATTGATTAAAGATGACAAGAGGATGAAAAACACTACCAGGACATAATATACAACCCAATTAGATAATTGACCTGGCCAATGATCCTGATCGGATCCAGTGCGTCGGGTGCTACGAGCGTCGGAGCTCGAGAGCTATCCGCCAGGTAGAGAATGAAATGGAGAGCTATCCGCTAGTAGAGAATGAAAATCACGTATTTGCACACCGATATCGTACTGTGTAATAGAGTAACGTATAGTATCAAAATTGTTAGGAAAAACGTCTTTAATTTTTACAATAGTAGAGACAGGGAAGAGATTGAGATTTGTATTCACCCTCCGCCCCCCCACCCCCCCCTAAAAAAAAAGCTCATGTCTGCGCCACTGGTCGGATCCATCTGCCGTGGATACACCATCAGGACCACATCCGATCCGGGCAACGTCTCATGCACCATGCCATCATTACTGAGCCAATAGACCAACCGCCTATAGTCGCTACCAACACCGCCTCAGCACTCCATCGGACCACCACGGCCACCGTTCATCGCCACCGAGGATGTTAAGCACAGGGACTGAGCAACCGTCAATAGCGGCGAAGGATATGATACAACCTTCTAGAAAGCATCAAGCCGGTGAACCACCGTAACCAGCACTAGCCGTTATCATGGTTTGCATTCTTGAAATGTGGGTTTTTACTGGAGGGAACTGAAATCACCGAAATTTTGGTATTCTTTTAGTCAAAAATATTTGAAAATTTGATAAATTGAATGAATTTAAATAAACTTTGACTAAATTCACAAAAAGTTAGAAAAAACCGAAATTTCAGAAATTTTGTTCTGAAATTATAATCACTGGCCGCTATGCGTGCACCATATGGCTCACAGTGTCAATGTCGCACCACTCCCTGCGTCGGTACGTAATGCCATAGGCTGATATTCTCTCCCGCCCTCCGAACCCAACGGCGCACAACCAGCCGCCGGGCTAGCGCCGAACACCGTGGCCGCGTGCCACCCCGAACTAGGCCCGAAGACAACGAGGACGTGCACGGCGAGGAGGACCACCGTTCCCAGGGGCGAAGCTACACAAGCTGATGGGGGTGCAGATGAACCCCCTGTATTTCTGTTTTTAGTGCTTGATGTTATGTTTTTGCTACATGTGCACCCCCTCATCTCAGTTATGTGCAACCCCAACGACCGGCCAGAGCGTGGCGGAATGAGCGCACGAGCCTACTGCTCTATTATTTTGTTTTTTCGGTTTTACTGATCATGTCTATCGCCAATACTACATGCTTATATTGATGGGATAGAGGCAAGGGCATGCATATAACTTGCTCATCTCATTTCTTCAATTTGTCTGATTTCTTCACATCAAACCTTAAAGTTTAAATATAAAATTCAATTTTAGTTATTATTTTAATGTTTCTAGATAGTAATTTAGGATTTAAATAATTATACCGTTTCACTAGGATTTAGGAAAATGTAGTAGTATTGCAGATCGATCCTAAGTACTAATATTTCAATTAGAAGGGTTATGGCACTAGCTCCTTGACTTTTAAATTTTATCACACACCGATATATAGTACTCCCACTTAACTAGTCTATGTGTCTATGTGTGTTAGTTTGAAGCATAAGAGAGACAGAAATCCTTTGTTTACGCATGCTCCCTAAACTGCTACCGATGTGTTTTTCTATTAAAAAATCTATAAAATATTGCTTTAAAATTCATATTAATCAATTTTTATTTTGAAATAATTAATACTCAGTTAATCATACATTAATAACTCACCTCGTTTTACGTATCTTCTCAATTTATTTTTTCATATCCTCTCAAACACACCCTAATATTATTCAATGGTTCAATGTATCTTGCAATATTGAGTATCATTTTTATCGTTCCCACCTTCACTTTACATTTTAATGTAAGAATTTCTAATCATATCTTCATCATGCACTTAGCCATCATCTAGTATAATGTTTAACAATTGATAGTCTATCATTATCTTGTATAGCATGGCTTCAAAATTTCATGTGCTACTACATATACGGTTGAGGTGGTGCACCCCCTCTAATTTGTTCTAGCTTCGCCACTGACCGTTCCAGAAAATAAAACCTACCTCGCAGGAAAAAAAAAAGAAACCTGCAACAACAGTTAGTGAGATGCAATTGAAGTCATCTCAATGAATCATCGTACATTTTCTCGTCCAGGGGAAAATCATTGACAGTGCCCGAGATAGTGAGACCTTGCTCCTTGATTATGGCGTGATGAAACAATTTTCTATAACCATGCCAGCTCAAGCAAGTACACAGCCAAGTCTACGAGGCGGCCATACCATATTATACTCCCTCCGATTGTTAATAGATAACAATATTGATTTTTTAACATCGCATCTGAGCATTCGTCTTATTAAGTTATATAAATGTTATGTATCTTACTGTGACATATTTTATCACTAAAGTTTCTTTAGGTCTGACTTATACTTTAGCATATTACACTATTACTTTATATAAGACGAATAATCAAACGTTATTTTAAATATCATTGGCGTCATCTATTTAAAAAATAAAGGTAGTATGTAGGACAGCACAAGAACATTTCTTATTAATTATTTAACTTCTTAACGTATAATAAAATATCCTTCAGCAACAACCAACAGCTAGCACCTTTTTGTTAGTTTGTGTGGTAACCACATTCAGTACTTATTAAGTGCAAATCATGCGACATTGACCCGGTTTAATTAATTTTGTTCTGTGAATATTGATTTTTTTATTGTTTTTTCATAATTAACGTTTGATGGTGGAAGTTGGACATATATATATCCCGCAAATTAAGCGTTCCAAGGTAAACTAGTGGACTGATTGACTTTTCTAGAATATTAAGAATGTGCTGCCCACGAAGTAGCTAGCCAAAGTATATAATTCAGCTTGCTGGCCATGGCGATGCGCTGGTTTCAGGCTTTCAGCAAGCTGTTGTCGTCAATTGCGCTGATCTTGGTTCTCTTTGCAGCATTCGTGTTAAGCATAGTGCTCCATGCCGCTGCTCAGCCTGCAGGTGCTTCACTGTGTCAAAAACTATTTTCATGCATATATTCACTTTAAATTCGTCGAGATCACATGTGAATTTGTGGTGAATTTTGATAGCCGGCCATGATTTGATATTGTTTAATGTTTATGCACGCTTGCAGACTTCCTGAGCATCGACTGCGGCCTGGAGGCGAACTACAGCGGCTACAAGGACGCCAATACCGGCATCGTCTACGTCTCCGACGAGCCGTACGTCGACTCCGGCGAGAACCACAGGATTGCCGCCGACCAGGAGAGCAGGTGGGGCGACACCAACCTCCGGACGCTCCGGAGCTTCCCCTCCGGCGTGCGCAACTGCTACACGCTCCCCACCCGCGCCGGCACCAGGTACCTGGTCCGCCTGTCCTTCGTCCACGGCAACTACGACGGCGGCGGCGGCGGCGGCGGCTGGTCGACGTTGAGCTTCGACCTGTACCTCGGCGTAGACCGCTGGGCCACCGTGGACAAAGACTACGCCCACGAGGCGGTGTTCGTGGCGTGGGCGAGCTGGGCGCCGGTGTGCCTGATAAACACCGGCAGCGGCACGCCGTTCGTGTCGGTGGTGGAGCTGAGGCCGCTCGACGGTGCGCTCTACCCGTCGGTGATGGCCAACCAGTCCATGGCGAGGTATGTACGCTGCAGCATCGGGGACAATAACAAGTTTATCACAAGGTAAGCACATATTTTTTTTTCCTTTCCTTGTTAGTACAAGCGAGTAGTACTCCATCCGTCCCACTGAATAAGGTGTGCGCACACGTATTTTAAGATTTATCTCTTTAAAAATGTTTAACCAATAATTATTTTGTTATAGTTGAAGTTTTATTTGCTGAAAATAGTATCATTAGATCCATACTTTAATTTACTTTCACATGATTATGATTTTGTTACGATACATTATAGTATATGATAAATTTAAAGTTAAATGTTAGTTTTTGAAGATCATACATACTAAGGGCTTGTTTGGAGAGCTTTAGATTCTGAGAAGCAGTTGTTTGGTAGCCAGCTTTTAAGAATCTGGAAAAGCTCTGAAATCGAGCTTCTCCAGCTTCTGGCTTCTTAGTTCATTTTTCAAAATCTGTAACTACAGATTCTCAGAAGCTGTGGACTGTTTAGGGCAGCTTCTAGCAGAAGCAGCTTTTCAAAAGCTGAAAAGCTGCAGCTGGGACAAACTCCCCCAAACAGGACGTTAAGTTTGACCGCACCTTATTCAATGGGACGGAGAGAGTATATTTAGCATTGTTCCTCCCTTGATATTTCACATGCTGCTGGCTAGGCATTGGCCGCCTAGTCCAAACCAATTAAAAGTCGGGCCGTCAAACTGTTTTAATCGACCACCACCGAAACATCAAAATCGTATGTTCTCAAACAAAAGTTTGAGTCAATGAAACATATTGAGAAAAATGACAACCAGAACATATTGAGAAATGAACTAAACATGGAAAATAAAAAAGATAAACACTTTTAATTCAAGATAAAACATTTTTCTTCCATGTATGAAACATTGTATTCCAATGGCTGAAACATCGAAACAATTTTAAAAAAATCAAGATCTTAAAGCGTGCAACATAGTCATAATTTCAGTTGAAATATTTTGTTTCTTGCACGTGAAACATTGTGTTTCAACTATTGAAACATCAAACTTAACCCCTCACTTTTAACGTGTCAGAGCAGCAAATAGATAAAAACCAAAGTAGCAGGGGAAAGCATTAGATTGTAGAGGGAAGATATTAGATGTGTGGATGGTAAGGTTAGCATCAGAACCGAGCAAGGCCTGCTCCGTCAATATTGTGACAGAAGGTTGCCTGAGCTAGGTGTTGGGAAGGGGACCAACCTCAGTGATCACCTCTGCCATGAAGGTGGTGGTGGTGGATGAGGGAGCGACAATTTGGGAGGAGGTATGTCGGGTGCAGCCGCCATCGCCACTGGAGAAGGAGGACCTCTTGTGGCAGTTGGACTAGGCGGTGGCAATGATCTGCATAACGGCGATGCTGCTGTGGTTCTTGGCAAGACTTGGTGCTGGGCAAGCAGGTGAAGTGAGGGACCATGGTGAGAGGGTGGAGAGAGAAAATAGGGAAGAGTGGTACGTCCGATATTTATCCTTGGGTAGGACGCTCGATAGGAGGTATTGTCATTTTTATATAAAATAGAAATTACAAAATACAACCTCTTATTATAAAATTTGGCCATTGCATGTAGTGTGCATGTGTTGTTTTCTACAACTTTAGATAAATAGGCCAAGAATGAGAGATCTAGTCATGTCGTCCTATACTCCGGCTATGTAAGTTAGCTTATCCTTGCTCCGGCCTCTACCGCATCTACCACCATCACTAGCTCTCGTAAAAAATCTCAACTTTTTGGCAATTACATCAATACGAGGAGGACATTGTTACAATTGTCAAAATCTTTCATTTGAATATAACGTGAAATATTTAAATTTGGAACATATACATATTATTTGTTATGTCATTTCAGACAAATCAGTCTTCTTGTATTTCAAATTACCAAATATCAAGAAGCATTAAAGTCTAGTTAAATATAACTCATGGATGACTGTCTATATACCATCCATATATGTTTAACTGTCTACAGTACTTTCCCCAAATTTCTTCCTCTCCGGCCCCTCTTCCCCTTCGATTCCGGCGGCTAGCCGTCGGCGAATGTTGGAGGAGGGGTCCGGCCACCTCCCCCTTGCTTGTATTGTGTTTCTAGGTTTGTTTTTAGGTCGTCAGGTCTCTCCTGTAGTTAGGGTTTGTCCCTAGTTGGTACTTTTGGCCGGCGAGCTCCATGGGCGCTGGTGTGGTAGGCGGCGGCGGCGGTTGGTGACGGTGGAGGTGTAAGATCAGTAGACTTGTGGATGAATCGACGGTTGGAGCTGGCTCCTTGCGGCGGCGGCGGCTTCGTCGTCTGTGGCCGCGGCGTCGGCTTCTTCGTCGCCTGTGGCCACAGCGTCGTTTGCTTCGTCGTCCGTGGCCGCAGCGTCGGCTGCTTCGTCGTCCGTGGCCGCGGCGTCGCCTGCTTCGTCGTCAGTGGCCGGGAGGTCGTCGCCCCTTCCCGTGCGATGGCTGCGGTGATTTCTCATTGCTTCCGTCGTCCGATGCTGTCGTCGCCCAGAGCATGCTGCTCGTGGTGCTTGATGACAACCCGTCGGCGTGGTGGCGGCGATTTCACTGGTACCTGTTCGAGAGCTCCCAATGCTTAGGTTCCGTTGGTCATGATTCGCAGGATTTCTCTTCCCCATCCCTGTATGTCGACCCAAAAAGACAGCAGTTCGTATGCCACCATTCGAGTTTTTCAGTGGGTTTGGGGATGTGGATTTGGGCTCCTTCTTCCTATATGTTTCCTACCAGCTTGTTCCATGCATGGTTTGTTGTTCGGGTTGAGCTCACGCTCCTCAGATTTAACGACGAACTCCGTGGACACCACTTGCTGAGTCTGGTGTTGCCTACTCTAAAATCTACGGCTCAGCAGCAGACCTCCGTTTTGTGCAGTATTTGTGGAGTCAACCGGATGGGGATTACCGGTTTGTCAAGCGGGCTTCATGCCGAAGGAGGCCCAAGGTTGCATTCGTCGCGGCATTGCCGCAACTCCCTGTCGATGTGCATCTTATCTGCTGTGTGGTTTCATTATGAAGTCTGTAGCCTTATTGCAGGTTTCCATTCTTTAGAAACGGATGGTTTTATGCTCTCTTTTTATCTATTTGGCAATGTACTGGGATTTATTCCCATGATCTCTGTCGGTTTATATTAATGGATGTTTAGTTTTCAAAAAAAAAACTGTCTATATTTATCTATGATTTTGTTGTGTATTTTCTTTTACCTTTTTTTTCATTTTACATAGGTATCCGGGTGATCAATATGACCGGTTCTGGTGGCAGCTAGGATACAGTAGCCCGACGTGGAAGAACCTTTCCACTGTTTCGGCCATCACGCAAGATTCCATCTACACTGTGCTCTTGACCATTATCCAAACTGCCGTTGAGGCAGTCGGCAACAACACGATGCTGAACATTACATGGCAAGATCAAACGCCTCGTGGTCGTGGCTTGAAGTTTTTCATGTACTTTGCTGACTTCCAGAACAGCCAGCTTCGGCAATTCAATGTCTCCTTCAACGACGTTGAGCCATACCAGTACAGTCCACCGTATCTAACCACCGGTGTCTTATATAACTCTGGATGGTCAACTGCCACCGATGGCAACTACAACATCAGCCTAGTGCCTACGGCTGCGTCCAAGTTACCGCCGATGATCAATGCCCTAGAGATCTACACTCTCATTTCCCATGACAATCCAACGACATTCCCAGTGGATTGTAAGCATTCTCCTCTATCATATACTCCACTCTATTTTCTCTGATTTAGTTGATATTTTTCTTATACAGAAACTTCCATACACGTTATATTTCAGATAAACTTGACTACTTGCTATCTCATAAAATTCTTAGAAATTTTACAACTGAGATTTTTTCTTGGATCAGTGTGTTCTTAATATGTGTAAATGTTTCAAGGTTTTGTGCTTGTTTTTATTTTTTAAATTTGCGATGTGGAGGAATTGAATCAAAATTTATCCTCAAACTTTCCTTGTTTGGCCCATGCTAGTTGAAACCATCATGGCAATTAAACTCGAGTATGGGATAAAGAAGAATTGGATGGGTGATCCATGTTTCCCTGAAAAATTTGCTTGGGAAGGCGTAAAATGCAGCAATTCAAGTAGTAACACAGCGAGGATCATCTCTTTGTAAGTATAACTTGAAATTCTATCACCAGTATTATGCTCGGAATTTGTGCTTGGGACTTATGTTGGATCACCTAAAAATTTACATGCAGGGATCTGTCCAACAGCAACTTGCATGGAGCTATATCTAATAACTTCACATTACTCATGGCACTCGAATATTTGTACGTATCTAAACAATTCATTTTGTTTCTAAAGAGGCATATTTGATATATAGCTTCTTTTTAATTAACTTATTCTTTCAAGTCTATACGTATATATATCTTTTGACCAAGATCTAAACTACGGTATACATACTTGGCTTCCTAGGGCCCTCTCATGTGTCATTACTTCTCAATCAAATAGAACAAAATTAGAAATGAAAATGATGCAGAAAAAAATTCACAATAAAGACAGATAATCCCAGGTGACGTGGTGTCGTAAATCACGCTGTGGGTTATTATAATCTACTTATTCTTGCATTTTATACGCGCTTGAAATAAGTGCATAAACATATATAGTGTCAGGGATTTACCTCATGCTCGCCCCTTTATAATTTGTTATTAAGGAATTATATTACTATATTTAAACAGCGCTAGACATATTACTGATATCATAAACTTCGTGAAACCACAGGAATTTGTCATGCAACCAACTGAACGGACCAGTCCCTGACTCTCTACGTAAAAATAACACAGGATCATTCATTTTCAGGTTTGGGGCCTTATTGGTGTTAATGTTTCTCCGTAATGTATCCAAGTTACAGAATGTAGTTCATTTTTTTTCTGTGAACTTTGAGCTGGTGGTCATTATTGAAGACTGTGTTTTCCTTTTGCACCAAAGAATACCATGAACTGACTGTCTTATTTGATTTCAGCTTCAATTCTGATGGAAATATGTGCAACAAACCAATAATAGTCCCATCTCCGCCAGGAAAAAGGTCAAATAGAGCAGCTACCTTAGCTATTTTGATAGTGGTCCCTGCGACGGTGATTGTTGTTCTTGTTCTTGTGTTTTTGATCTGGAGACAGAAAAGAAACTCCAACTGTACGTATTCTCTGCTATTGTTAATTTGTTATGAACTCAATAAATTTATTAACCATTCGGGTTGGTGGTATATACTTTATGATGACTTATTATGTAATTTATACTTGATATGATTTTCATGTAACTGCTATTGTTGTTACCAGATTCTACTGAGGATCCTACAAGAGATCGATCAAATCAACTTGAGAATTCCCTAGAAAAAAGTCAAAATCATGGGGATGTCCTGCAAATAGTTGAGAATCGCCAATTTACATACATTGAGCTCGAGAAGGTCACTAATAAGTTTGAAAATCACATTGGACAAGGCGGCTTTGGACCTGTGTACTATGGTTGTTTAGAAGATAATACCGAGGTTGCTGTCAAGATGCGTTCTGAATTGTCGTCACATGGGCTTGATGAATTTTTTGCCGAGGTATTGAACTCACTATGAATTTAAACATATATTATCATTCCATTTTTTTCATATGACAATGTAACCTAGCTAGCACTTTCACTTTGTTTAAGAAAAATGGAAATTTGGTTAAACTTATTACATTCACAATGAAATTAATTCCAACTGGTGGAAATGATGAGATTTATGTTTACGTCCCATTTTATAGGTTCAAAACTTAACAAAGGTGCACCACAGGAATTTAGTTTCTTTGATTGGTTATTGCTGGGAAAGGGATCATTTAGCACTCGTTTATGAGTATATGGCTCAAGGCAGTATCTGTGACCGTTTGAGAGGTTTGCTGCTTGCAACTCTTTTCCTTGATTATTTATGGACTCCAGTTTCTTGGCCTTAGTTAAGAGATACTATTTGTGTGCTACTTGGACTTAAGTGACTTTTTAATGATATATGTGTACCTTAAACAAAAAAAAATATGAATTAACTTTGCTATGAAATTTATCAACATATTCCACTGTAGGTAACATTTTTGTTGAAAATCAGCATGCATCACATTATTCTATTCTAACTATCACTTTTCACATATACGAAGGTAATAATGGTGCTAGTGAAACCTTGAATTGGAGAACGCGTGTCCGAGTTATGGTTGAAGCGGCACAAGGTATTCTGCAACAAAAAAGACAGGCAAATCTAGATCTATCATTTGTTTTTGTCTTCCTATATATATGTACTATGAATATTTTCAAGCTTCTATAGATGATATATAGAAATGGTAGCTAGAATTGTCACATGCAAATGGCACTGGAAGAAAAAAAAATATGAGTAAATTTCACAAAACTACATATACTTTGATCAAATTACCACAAAACTACAAATTTTGATGTATGACAAAACTACAGATTTAACAATAAATTTATCACAAAATTACTCACAAAACTATAGATTTAGTAACAAAGTTATCACAAAACTATAGATTTTAGAGTTTAAATCCTTAGCACTAGTGTTATGTTTGAGTTATAAACGTGTAAGTTTTGTGATTAAATTGTCACTAAAACTACTTGACAATTTTATTACTAAATCTATAGTTTTACGATACTCCAACTTAAATCTTAAATAGGTAGTTTTTTGAGAAATTTAGTGTTAAATCTATAGTTTTATGATATATCACCCTAAATATGTAGTTTTGTGATAATCTGGTCAAAATATATGTTGTTTTGATAAATTTACTCAAAGAATATTGTGAGAAGTCTTTAGCTAGGATTTCTAGTAAACTTCAATATCAACGCATGAGTTTTTTCTTTTCGTACAATAGGTTCAATACCACATGTTATACATCCATGAGATACTGACAATATTTTGCATCGAGTCAAGACTCAAGACATCTGACACACCTATAGAAGAATAAAATTGCAGTTTCATCATAAAATTCATTTGATATTGTTGCATCATTTTTTGTGATTTATGTAGCTAAAATTGTAGCAAAGCAACAGTTTGGATCAAATAGTTATAGTTTTGTGAAATTTACTGTTTAACTATGAAATAAGTTTATCTATGACAATAATGTCCAAAATGACACTTGTTCATTCGTGCATGCACACCTTCTCTCACTATAGTTTCTTGATATGATTTGATATATGTAGGACTGGATTATTTGCATAAGGGTTGCAGTCTACCAATAATTCACCGCGATGTGAAAACCAGTAACATTCTTTTAGGTAAAAATCTACAAGCTAAAATAGCAGATTTTGGACTTTCCAAGACTTATCTCGGCGAGACGCAGACTCACATATCAGTCACTCCAGCCGGGACAGCTGGTTACATTGATCCCGAGTATGTATATTTGTGTCAATTTTTTTTCATTTCTTAACAATATTTTCATCTAATGCCTTATCTAGACAAGTTGGGAGATCCAAACTAAAAAATACATGGTTTTGGGCTCATGGCCTTTACCTTATATCCACGTAATTAATGCACCATTTAGGTTCCTCTGAAATACAATGCAATATTCATATTTCCTGACATAATGTATTTTTTAGGTACTACCAAACCGGCAGGTTCACGGAGAGTAGTGATGTGTATAGCTTTGGCATTGTTTTACTAGAGATAGCCACCGGTGAGCCACCCATAATATCGGGTCAAGGCCACATCGTCCAGCGTGTGAAAAATAAGATTGTTGCTGGTGACATCAGTTTGATTGCCGATGCACGGCTCGATGGTGCATATGACATCAGCTCCATGTGGAAGGTGGTGGACACTGCATTGCAGTGCACTGTTGATGTTGTTGCTCAAAGGCCAACAATGGCCACTGTGGTTGCCCAACTAAAGGAGAGCCTGGCATTAGAGGAATCTCGTGAAGACAGTGGCTTCATGGGAAGCACAAGCACAGTCAGTGATAACACATTTTCTACGTCCAGGTTTGGTCCATCAGCAAGATGAAGCTGCAGCTGGCTTTGATAAACTATATTTTTTCATGTAATGGAACAGTGATGTATGCTTGTGTATGCATGCACTGTGATGGTGGATTAGTTTTCTTTTGTGTGGAAGAAAAATAAGGTGTCTTCTGGACCTCATTTTGGTACTGCAAAGTTACTAGATTAATTCCTGCATCCTATGCATTTGCATTCTACTCGGTTTGCTCTCCTATGTCACATGATTAGAAATGCCTTTGCACTGCACTCTGTATGAGATCCCCTATTTTCACATTATTAGAATTAGGGAGAAATCCGCCAAAGTGAAGATTTTCTTATCTTCACTTTGCATTGCGTTAAGCGCAACTCTGCCTAACCAAAATCCACGAAACACGTCTTTAGATTTGTAGGTTTCATGACTGCTTCATTGGACCAGTGAGAGTAAGGACATCTAGCTAGGTTCTACACATTGGAGAACTAGCAATCTAGCATACATGTCCATCTCATCCACCCCCAAAAAAGAAGAAAGGGGAATAATGAGATATTTTGTTCATGTTTCAAGGTCGAGTACGTCCTCATCCTGCTCTACTCTGTCATGAGCTGCTGCCTTGTAAACAAGCACCTTCTCAGCATTTGGCTGACCTACACTCATGGACTTATATCAGAACTCTCAACAGCATCACTGGGGAATTTACCTGCAAATGAGACAAGTTTGAAGATCGTCATGGATGTTAGTTTGAGCTTTGAGTTCAAAGCTGCACAAGTATATAATATTAAAAAAATCATACAAAAAATGGACTAATAGAGAAAATGAAACACCCTAGCCCATTAGCAGCCTGTATTTGTGCAGTTGAGGTCCATGTGGCTATAGTGGTGGTTTAGTGCCACCTTAAAAGTTTAGGTGGATGAGGGTTAACGCTTTTAACAAAGTGAAGATGAGGGCTCCAACCATATATAGTACGCCTGGCTAACCCTTTTATATGAAGTGTCCGCTCTTCATTACTCTACACTTGAAATGCTCCGAATATTTCATGATACCCCATACCACTTTTGCTAGTTTTTTTTTCTCAGTATGACCAAATTATCTTGATTCACCCTAGATGAGAAAAATTAATAGGAAGCTGAGTCTGAATTACAGAGATGTAGCTAGGTCAGGATTTTACTAAATTCAAAATAGGAGGTATAATTACAACCAAAATTTAAAGAGTATAATTTTGGATTTTTGAAAGTAAAGAAATTTATGGGGGGGGGGGCAAATTACCCAAAGAACTGAAGTTTTCAAATTTTCTTTATTTTGACACAGCATTTGAAGTGCGCAAATACTAATGAGTACGTAAAAATTAACACAAAAAGGGAATGATAATGAAATGTGTAAACATGTTCAATATCTTTGTTACATATTATTTGAGCAATGATACCTGAGAGTTAGGAAGCTCACAAACAGCTTACTGTTACACCGAAGCAAACTATTGCATTGCAATACCCACACCGATAAAGGATCCTATCGACTCGGTTTATGAATACAAACTGTATAAATCATTGTGTCTTAACACAGAACTAATCGTCTATGCAAATCAGTTGTTTTATTTTAGACTTAAAGCAGAGAACCATCATTATGTCCCGAAGCCAGGTATCAATGGTTTCTTCATCTTGCCGATGGACCAAACATGGACATTGAAGACGTGTCCCAATGAGCTTCCTCTTGTTCCAGGCTTTCCTTCAATTGCATGACTACCGGACATTGTTGGCCTTTGGGAAGAAATATCATCACAGCATCTGGAACCTTCCACAAGGAGTTGACAATATAGGAACATCCAAGACGTTCATCTGCAACTGATGTTACCAGTGACCATCTGCATCACACGCTGAATAATGTGGCAATTTCCAGGTATTATGGGAGGTTCACCAATAGTTACCTCTAGTAAAACAACACCGAAGCTGTCGACGTCACTGCTGTCAGTAAGTCTATCAGTGACGTAGTTGCTAAAAATGGCCCACATTGATAAACATAATGATTGCGCCAAGTGATTAAGGATAAATTTGTAGAGAATCACTAAAATATATGAATATGCAGCACAAACGAGTCACCTTAGCTCAACACGAACGGCTCATCACAAATGTCTAGATCTGTACTAGTGTGGGAGCACAAAAGTACTAATGATAGATTATGTGAAATAGGATATACGAAGCAATAAGGAAATGAGCAAGCAATCTTTGCTATGGATTAATGGGAGTTGTAGTACCAGAAGAATATCGAAGCTAATGTAAGTAAAAGTTCACACACATATGTAGACGCAAACTTTATATTATGGGCCATATACACACCTATCATGATCCTACCATGACATCTATGTTTTATACCGGCTGTATCAATTATTGACATTAACAAAACAAATAGTCTGTGCATGCACATCGTATCGTATAGACTTGTCACAGGGATCCATCAATGTAGTGAAAGCCAAGGCTAGGTATGTAGTATTTAATCATCTTGCCGATGGACCAAATGTCGACATCGAAGACATGGTGTCACTTGCTAGGTTTTCCATGTCTCCCCTGTCCCCATGAACTTCCACCAAGTCTAGGCTTTCCTTCAGCTGCACAACCACGTCACCCATCTTTGGCCTTTGAGTAGCTATATCTGTTGTGCACATCATGGCGATGTTAACAACCTTCCACATGGAGCTAACATTGTAGGCACCTCCAAGATGTGCGTCTGCAACTGAGCTAATGTTACCGCTGACAATCTTTTGCTTCACACGTTGAACAATGTGACCATTTTCAGGTATTATAGGAGGCTCGCCAGTTGTTATCTCTAGTAAAACAACGCCGAAGCTGTAAACATCACTGCTCTCGGTGAGCCTACCAGTGGTGTAGTACCTAAAAGTGACCCGTGTTAATATATGTAAAGATTGCATAAGTGATTAAGGTGAAAATTGCATGAAATCAATCTAATATATGAATGTAGTAGTACAAATGTAATAGTGTGTAGATCGAGACTCGTACTCAGGGTCAATATAACCCATAGATCCAGCTGCAGCGGCTGATATATGAGTCTGGGAGTCACTATGATATGTTTTCGATAGTCCAAAATCTGCTATCTTTGCTTTAAAATTTTGACCCAATAAAATGTTGTTCGTCTTCACATCCCCATGAATTATTGGTAGGTTGCAACCCTTATGTAGATAATCCAGGCCTACATATAAGGAAACTATAGTTAGAAGAAAAGATGAGCCATAACACTTTTGCTAAATTTTGTTTGCATTGCCATTATAAAATACCTTGTGCAGCTTCAAGTGCAACTCTTACACGTGTCTTCCAATTCAAAATTTCACCCATACCAGTTTTCCCTTTTAATATATTCAAGACAAACAATTAGGAAAGAATTCTACGAGCATCTTCAAATAGCAATTAAGGGAGTTATACAACATTCATCTGCTGTGTGTGTGTAGTGTGTGACCACACGTCGGCAGTGGGAGCAATAACATAAATAATAAAAATAGTACTGTCCCTTTAATAACAAAAAGGAGTAAATGCGGTGATCTCTAAGAATTATACTAGATATCACTCTGTACTTTAGGGACTAGCTAGCAAAGCACATATGTGGATTACACCTATAAAAGTTTGTACATCACATAGGCATTCATGTCTTAAAAATTAGTCAAGCTGGATTTTCAGGTACAACTAATTGAAACAATTATTCCATATGAAATTAAGAGAATCAAATATCACATGCTGCGTCAATCAATTATGTTGAGAATGAAACAACGAACAATTACGGCAAAACTTCTACAAATGTTTGGAAATAGAAGATCAAGATACTTCCTTAAAGATGACAAATAAATTTGTCGTGGTATCTATAATGAGTTTAATTAACCAAAGGCCATGGAGATCCTTATGTAGAGATCACCATATGCCGCCACCAAACAAATAACATGAGTCTCTTTATTTTTAAATAAACACAATATAGGTACATTACTAAATAAAGTGATAGTTAAATTCTCGCTTGTAACAATGGTCTCTCCGGACAATAAGTACTTATAGTAGTTATTGTGCTGCAAACAACTATTCAACGTGAACTGCTTTGTCCGTCTAGACGGAACATGTAGAATATTAAGTTAGTTTACGCTATGTGTAGGTGCTCACTTGTGTCCAGGTATCCTCCCTATGATTTCGCAACATTCAATACATTGAAGTTCGCAATGGACAAACCTCTTAGATAATCACAAAGATTGCCTCTAGACATGTACTCATAGACAAGTGCCAAATGTTCCTTCTCCCAGCAGTATCCAACCAAACAAACAAGATTTCTGTGATGCACCTTGGTCAAGCTCTGAACCTGTATTATAAGCAAGAGGAAGGATAAGTCTCTTAGGCTGTGTTCGATAGTGGGGCTTGGGAATCCCTCCCCCACAACACGCAAAATGAGCGGAGGTACATCGCGTGATTAATTAAGCATTAGCTAAAAAACTTGGAAAGGGATTAATTAATATAATTCTTAAGGCAACTTTTCTATATTTTTTTATGTAAAAAATACGTCATTTGTCAGTTTGGGAAACTTCCATGTGAAAAACGACGGACTAAAGTTGGGAACATTCACCAAAGAACACAGCCTTAATGTGTATGAAATCTCACTGTGGCTGTGATTAAGTTATATGCAGTGAAAATATTGATTTTGTCAGTAGTGAACTTAGTGGTAACTGAATTTGTTACCTCAGCTAAAAACTCATTAAGCCCATGCGAAGATAATTTAGACCGCATCTTCACAGCAACCTCAGTACTGTCTTCTAAACAACCGTAGTACACATGCCCGAAGCCTCCATGCCCAATTAAATGTTTGAAGTTCTCAGTAAACTTCTCTAGCTCCTGATATGTGAATCGGCGATTTTCAGGTTTTTGTAGATGGTCCCAATGATTTGTGATATGTCCAGGAGCACCCATGAGTTCTGGTACCATGGCAAGATCAGTTGAAGAAGCTAGTGCAAAAAGAAAAGTATTAGCAATATTACATTGTGTCATTAAACTATAAGAGTCAATTATTTTCAGTACAAACTATATATTTTAACAGAGCATACGTACTATTGAGCTTTCTTTTGGCTCTCCAGATCAAATATGCCAGAACAAGTATGGCCAGTACCAGCACTGGGGCCACTACTGAAACAGCTAAGGTATTTCTTGACAGGGATGGAGTAGCATGTGTTTTGCACATATTTCCATCAGACTCATAACTGAAATTTCATAAAACTATCAGCCGGAAGGGTTCAAAAGAATCGTAGTTAAGTGTTAAATTGCCTAAAGATTACTGAAAGAAATCAACGTTAATAAAAATATCCAAACCTGAAATCAATTGATCCGTTGTTTTTGAGGAGGGAATCTGGAATTGTCCCATTAAGTTGATTGCATGATAAGTTTCTGTACAAAGTGATATACAATTTACGGATTAAGCAATAAGTCTATGGCTTGTTGACAATCTGCAAACTTTGATAACAACACTGTAAAGTTCCAAGTATAAAGTATCAAACCACTTTAATTACCGTCAGATACTCAGATATCTTTAAAAAGTATCAAGAGTCTTTATGTTCAGCTTTGGATATGGTAGTACATATAGAATTACTAGCTTTGTCCCATAAAAAACAAATTGCGATATTTGACACATTCTAGTATCACGAATTTGGACAAGACAAGTACCACGTGGCCAAACTATTGATGTTGTTGTTTTTCAAATGATACTATTTCTTTTATAGGTTCAGAAGAACTATGATAACAGTCTTACAGGTGGATACTAGTTAGTCTTTGCGATATTTCTTAGTCAGCTCTTACCTTATTTGAGGACTTGGATATCTTCGAGAGCTAAACTTTCACCACGGAGTATGTTATATTTCAATAATTGTCAAACGTATTATTATTGGCTTAGTAGTAATTTGATATATCATAATTTGCTGGTAAAAGTTAAAATGACCCAGTACAATATAGCACACTCCTCTGAGTATCATGAAGCCGCATGATTTGCAACATCACATTGACCTAATGAATGACCTAAAAAAAAAACTATGATAACAGTCTTACAGATGAGTACTAGTTAGTTTTCATGATTTTTTTTCTTAGTCAGCTATTACTTATTTGAGAACTTGGGCTTTGTATTATCACTCTATACCAACCTTTTTCCCTAAGGACAGAACTTGTTGACTGTGTAACTGTGAGAGGCCAGGGCTGTAAAACATTTCTATTATTATTTAGAAATGTATATCTTTGAAAGCTAAACTTTCACCATGGAGTATGATATACTGAAATAATTGTCAAATGTATTATTATTGGCTTAGTGGTAATTTTATATATCATAATTTGGTGGTAAAAGTTAAAATGGCCCAGTACAATGTAACACACTCCTCTGAGTATCATGAAGCCGCATGATTTGCAACACCACATTGACCTAATCAACGATCTCGAAAAAAAAAACTATCTACAGACACATATATTTATATATACTAATTAGTGGCACTCCTGAAAACCCCCAAATTAATTGAGAAATAAAAGCTAGAAATACCCACACTAGTGAGAAAAGTAAAAAAAAATCATTTTAATTAAAATTATATGTGTCCATCTATCATATCTATGTCTGAGATCTGCATGTACTTGGTTTGAAGTCTCAATTATATACTTTAATTGATTTAATGATTCTAAATGAAAAATAATAAATACTAAGTGGTACCCTCTCTGGAGTCTCAAGCATAGAGTTTTGTTGAATGCCAAAACAACATGTTCCTTGAATTAAATTTGAAAATATACTGTTCACTTGTTTTTTCTCAGAAATATTCAGGATTCAAATTTTTTGGTACAAATATACCGCTGGTATCGCTCAACATATACAGTGGACGTGACGACTTCGGCGGTGTCACACAGTGATGCGCGAGACTCCTCGCTCTCGCGCGGCGCAGGCGCGAGACCGAGTGGTCTGGCATAACCTAACAGCAAGACCGAATATCATGTCATTTCAAATGGCTTAATTAGTGATTAATTATCTTGCTTAGTGGTTAATCAATAATTAATTAACTGCTAATTAGGTGGATTAATCACTAATTATTATTAATTAATCGGTAATCATGACAGTTAATCAATTTTCAATACGGTGTCGCTATTTGGCCATGCGAGATGGTCCACGTCATTCTCGCACAATGGTTAGGTGATATCGATAGTATATTTGTGCCAAACAATTTGAATTCCTAATATTTCTAAGAAAGAACATATGAGTGGTATATTTTCAAATTTAATTCCATGTTCCTTCACTAAGGGGGGTAGCTTGTAGCCCAAGAGCAGCGAGCCAGCGAATGTCTAATTTACACGCAAAATACCTCCACTAGCCCTCACCACTAGTTATCATACCTTTAGTTCATTTTTACCACTTTACAAAAGTAAAGCTGCGATCACTTTCGATAATATTTAGTCCGTGTTTTTCATTTTTAATGTAATATGATGCCTAGTCCTGTCGATTGGCAGTTTTAAATGCAGAACAACCAAAGGCAGAGGGCACTCAGATATACTTACAAGTACTTGAGGGCAGTAAACAATGTGAAAAAATTAGATATCGACCCATTCAATTTGCTGTTGGAGAGATCACTGCATAATAATTTCAAATAATCCAACAAAATTTAGCAAATGTATACAATTAATAATGCTAGTACATTTAGATCTTCCATACTATACTCACAGAGATATTATCCTCATGATTTTATCACCTGCATCGCTGCATTTCACACCATCCCAAACAAATTCAGGTGGAAAACATGGATCACCCATCCAGTTCTTCTTTATTCCATACTCATATTTTATAGCCATGATCGCATCAACTAGCATATATACGAGGAAAAAATAGGAGTTCAAGAGGGAGAGTTGATAATGTTTAATTGTTTAGTGTACCTCGCTAAAGACCAATAGATACAGCTAGCTTACAATCCTGGGAGAACGTTGTTGGATTATCATGGATGATGCGACCGTAGACCTCATAAGCATTAAGGATCGGGGGCAGAGCTGATGTGGCAGTTGCAGCAATGGTGAAGTTATACTTTCCTTCAGAATTGCTGGACCAGCCGCCGGTGACAGACAAACCTTTTAGGTACGGTGTGCTGTATGGGCTGCTCTGCACACCATTGTCTATGGAAACTGTAAATTCCCGGGACTTGTTGTTCTGGAAGTCAGCGAAATGCAGGATCACGAAGTGGTTATGAAGAAGGACGTCTACTTGGTCGGAAAAGAAAACTAGTTTCATGGAGTTGCCACTCGGCACAATGGCTTTCTGGAGAACAGGCGAGGGCACCGCAAATTCGGTGCTAGCTTGGATGGTAGTTTGGGTGGAAATGTTTGTCGACAAGGGATGGGCTTCATCTGTGGACCAGAACCGATCGTACTGATCATCAGGGTACCTGTATTACGTGTGAAATTTGGAATATAAGACGATTACCGGTTAATAGAAAAGCAAATTGACTAGGAATACTAGCCATTAACCAATGCATCGCGATACTAGGTGATTCCCCGCGCTTTGCTGCGGGATTCATGGATTAGTATATGTTAAATATTGTCGAAATGATGAAAGTTGAAATGTTAAGAAAATAATGTGAGGAAGATGATTTGACACATACTTGTTGATCTCTATAATATAATATTGTAGATGATGTGTCATGCTTGTATGAGATTCTAATAGGCTAGAATAGTAATTGCTAGTGGGTAAAGATGTGGCATGCTTGCATGGGATTTTGAATGGTCTAAAATAGTAATTGCTAGTGGGTGATGATGTGACATCCTTGCATGTTGAGTTTTAGCTTCTAATAATTGTTAGTGGGTACCATCTATATAGAAAGTATAGATTTACTAATTCAGACTGCAATTATTAAATCATGCAAACATGACAATTGAACTTCCGAACCGATCGAGAACAACACAATATGTGTTAATTTAAACTTCAAATTATTAAATCATAAAAAACTAATTATTACTCCATAGCAACAAGAAATCGATATTTGGTATTAGATTATTACTTTTTTATATTTTTCAAAATTGGATTTATTAAATCAAGATGACATATGTAATGATTCAAACGAAGTGCAACTACAGTTTCACACGAAAAAACGGGACTGATACTTTAATTTCATGTTGAATCTATTTTTGAATCAGTGTGCATTTGTTTTTTTTTTGTCTGTACGAATTAAAATCATTTTATTTTCTTTTGTAAAATTCAGTATCGCTGCTGGTCGTCTCCCAAACATATATAGCTGGTAATTAATGTGTGGAACCGGCAGTAATCCCCAGTTTGTAGTGCGTTGTTTAGCTAAATTAATAAAATCAGAAAACAGCTTCAAGTGATATATTGGTTCACGTATAACTGGCTAGCTGAGCTGCAAGATGTACAAGATCCAAGGAAATTCAGAACATATATACCTTACTAATTTGTCATCATCAGGGCTCGATCCCACGTTGCTCCGAACATAGAGGGAGAGTGACACATTGCCCATGACAGCCGGGTAGGGCAAGATACCGAGAGGCCTCAACTCCACCATGGACATGAACGGCGTGCCTTGGCCGATGTTGATGAGGCAAACCGGCGCCCAGCTCGCCCATGCCACGAACACCGCTTCGTGAACATTATAACCATCATTTCCGTCGGTGGTGTCTATACTCACGGTGTCCCAGTGTTTGACACCAAGGGTAAGGTTGAATTTTAGCGACGAGCTGTCCAAGCCGTCGTAGTTGCCATACAAGAACTTCAGCCTGACCAAGTACTTGGACCGGACGTCGTTGGGTAGCGAGTAGCAGTTGCGCTGACCCTCGGCAGATGGGAAGCTCCTGACCGTGTAGAGAGTACGGTCAGGGCCCCACCAAGCATTGCGGTATACGGTGGTCACCTTGTGATTCTCGCCGGCGTCGGTGTAATGGCCATCTGGGACGTAAGTGATGCCGGTGAGATCGTCTGGGTAGCTGTCATCTGCCTCCAGGCCGCAGTCGATACTTAGGAAACCTATTGTGTGCACCAAAGAGAAATGGCATAGAAAAGTTTTAATCTCCACCTGTTAGTATAGAACCTAATGGGCCATTGGGGTAACTTCTTTGTTTAAGTTCTTTTGTTCAATTTATTAAGGCAGCCTCTGTACAAAATGTTACAAATATAGGTCTAATACTCTTCTAATTCTACATTCTCCAGATGTTAGGTCTCAACTCAATGGTACTGATTTCTCCCACCTCATCAACGCCGCTATACTTCATTTTTCTACTAACACGTCCTCACTAAAGTGTAAAAACCGCCTTCCTAGCCAACACTAATGTATCATTGCCGTTTCATAACAATAAACAGCAATGATACTTCAACTATCACTGTCGGTTCTCGATATGAACTAACAATGATATGATTTGAAAATACCAACCAATTAACAGTGGTATGAATTGAAAATATCACTGCTGATTCATAATAGAATCTGACACTATGCTTAATGGACCACATATATAGTTCGGCCCACCATTAACTGAGCATCGAAGTGAAATTATTAAGAAATTAATAATATTTTTATATGAAGTCGATGAATATAAACTTTATGCCAAAGTTATATTTCTTGACAAGATCTACAACATGGTTGCTGAACAATTTATTATTTGACATAGTTTATATGGTCATATATGTGTTAGAAATTATCTGATCTAATTGATAAATGCTTTAAAATTTTCAAATGAATTGAAGTAGACACAAACACTATATCAAAATTGTACATCTAAGATCTATAGTTTTGTAATTTTATAGTTGATGACCTTAACGTTTACATTTGAAGTCATCACGTTAACAGCACAGCCAGGAAGCTGCAGTTTTGTGTTCAAATTAACGCTCGACCTATAGTTTTACCATATATACAGTGACTTTTCACAATGAACTCAATGTTAAATATGTATGTACGTCGTGATACATCACCACCTTAAATCTGTGTTTTATATTTTTTTCAAAAAGAAATATCTATAAAATAATATCTATACTTTTATGAAATTTACTCATTTATGTGTATAAGCATAGAACACTTTTTTAAGATCATGCTTGATAAAACCAGGCCTTGCAAAATTAGATAGTAAGAGTATTTTGTAGTGGAAGGGACAACAGAATAGAAAAAATAAGCTGACCTGTCTGGCCGTCGGCTCGAACCGCTGCTTCAAACACCAGTACAGCGACCAAAACCAGGAGAGCCATGGAGACCTGATGAGTGATAACCTGGGACGATGCTGGAGCGAAGCTATCGAGTTTGGAGTTTGGACCGTATATATACACACACAGGCACACACATAAACTCTCCGTTTTTCTAAATGTAACAGATTTTTTTATTAATCTTTGACAACATTCTCGACTGAGCGAGTATTAAATCACGTATTACAAGAGTAATCCAGGGGAGCACCGAACGACTGAATTATTTAATTTACTGTTGACAAATTAATGACCTTCCGTACCGGTTTTGACTGACACTAGCAATTTGACAAATTGTGCTCCTTCTTCGGAAAGGACTATCATATTACTGTTGGGCGTAACTTTAACGACGACGTGCACATGCACACACAGTCCTGTAATGTTGCTGACGAGAAAATACGAAAGAGATAAATCAGTTTTTCACTAGTCGACGACTAGTCTGGCTCCTATATCAAACAATAACTTTTTCAGAACAAGTTGACAATATGTGTTAGCATATTTTCAAACTATATATTATGTTGCGCAAATATGTACAGTAGTGATTATTTATTATCCAAAGAAGTATACAGAGCAATATAAACTAAGATTTGATAAGTACAAATGGGGACGGCTAGAGGCGCGGGACCGATGCAAGAGCTATATAGGAGTAGGTGGCAAAGAGAGGCTGGAGAAATCATGGCTGCTCATGTATGTGGAAATCTATACTCCCTTCGTACTCACAAAGGAAGTTATTTTGGACAACGATACGGTCTCTAAAACACAACTTTGACAAATCTATTCATATAATTTTTACATTTTCAAACTCAACAACTTTAAAGTTATTCATGATTTATATTCCCAAGGTTTGACTTAAATATTATCCTAAACGACTTCCTTTATGAGTACGGAGCGAGTACCTTTTTTGTAATTAAAACTCATTAATTATATATCTAAAAGCTAACATCTAAACATACCACATCAATCGACTAAGAAACTAAAACTAGCATGCATGCATGCTATAATGTTCTAAACCTTAACATATACTCCCTCCGTTTCACAATGTAAGTCATTTCAGCATTTCCCACATTCATATTGATGTTAATGAATCTAGACATATATTTATATTGATGTTAATGAATCTAGATAGATATATATGTCTAGATTCATTAACATCAATATGAATGTGGGAAATGCTGAAATGACTTACATTGTGAAACGGAGCAAGTAAGTAAAAGGGCATATAGACTTTAATAGCACCTCAAGGTTCTAAGTCAAATTTTTATATGAGCGAATTTTAGATTGGATTGTTTGAGAGGTTTAGTTCCCAATTTAAAAGGCTGTGTATATCCCGTCGTTGGATATATATATAGAGACCGGGTAAAAATTACGTACCCTTCTCTGAAATAACCCTTAACATATAAGAATACTAAATTATCATTTCTCACATTATTTTCACTACATGTTAATCCAAAACAAACGTGTCTAACATTTCTACAACACTTATATGTGGATAAATATTAGATAGATACATTTTATTTTTTGTAGAAAAATTAAAGACAATTTAAATTCACCTAATTTTAGAGATAATTTAAAATTCACCTCTATAAAAATACTTCTGCAGAATGATTTCGTTATAGTGTGAGCATAGGTTAGCTAGTTATGTCTCTTTATGGTGGAACATATATATCCACTGAGTAGGTAGGGTAAAATGTTCATCACATATGTGCTCCTATTTATATCTCATATGCGGCCTAGTCTCTTACAGGCCGTTTATATAAGTATGGTGCGTATGTGTGCGTTCATATGCGAGTATGCATATGTATATGTGATCATAGGTATTTTTACTCTATTTCATGAAAGAAATTACGTGTAATAGTTTTAATTACGTGTAATAGTTTTAACAAAACAGCTATGTTGTTTTGGAAACTATTCTCATTACTTTGATGCCGTACAAGCTGAATGTTCGTGCTTTACTGAGATGAAAGAAAATATATTATAATATCTATCTATTATATAGTAAAAGTCTGTTAAACTTCCTAAAAACGTTCTTAAGCCACCACGTGGCACTCTATAAACACTCTTATGTCGCCACGTAGCACTATCTAATCTCACCGTCAATTTTCATTTAATTAGTACCTGTTATTTTAGACCATTAGATTAGATCTCTATAGTTGATTTTTATTTAAATTGGTGAACCCATTACTTTAGAATCATTAGGTATATAAATAATACCTTCCCTGTATAAAAGGGAAAATACGTACCGTCGGCATAAACAAAAAAAATCATAAGTACAATACATATGATTCGGAAAATAAGAGTAAAGCTTAGGTTCCGTTCACCGGAAGAAAAAAAATGCTTGTGTGATAAAGTCAAAAAAAAAAGGAACATACGAAGTAGTATAATCGGGAGAAAAATATAAAATATAATTTTCTACCGTATAAGATAAAAAGAAAAACCAAATGAACATACTATCTATCTATCTATCTATCGATCTATTATATACTAAAAATCCATTAAACATCGTACGAACACTCTCAAATCGTCACAAGGCACCATATAAATACTCTCAACTCGCCACGTGGCACCCTAATAAAATAGAGAAATCTAATCAGTCAATTTTGATTTGCTGTGTTAAACTTAATTAATAGTGAAGTAACAATGTTGTTTTTAGATGGGTGAGGTGTTAACTGTTTGGTTTGAGGTTGGGATTGGGCCGTAGCAGTGTACCACTTAATTTATTATAGTCATATTTGAATGTGTTTGATGATGTTTTGTTTGTGATTAGGTGGTGGTCTTTCAGATCGTGCATGATACCAACCCTTCATTGTAGGCAAGTGCATGACGAACTAATTGTGTGATTCATAGATTGTTTGTTCTATCTATCTATTTCCGTTATATTTCTATTTGATATGTGACTGCTTATGTTCAAACTATTGTTCATGCTATTTAGATTTCAAATTTATCTTATGTTTACGACGTTGTTCTTGTTTCACTATTCTGGATTCTGGTTCTGGTAAAATAAATTTAAGTTCCATGCTTGTTATGGATGTGCAATATGGTTTCAATCTAGTTTTTCGTTTCCGGTTTCAATTATTCAAGTTCCATGCGAGTCATGGATGTGCTATCTGATTTTCTATTCATGTTCCTATGGGTAAGCGCTGATCACGCTTACTCGGCTTTGCCGGCAAATGCTATGATGCATTCACAATTGTCCAGGATGAAAACTACTATTTCAATTCATATCTGCCCGGAATGGGAACTACTATTTTTCTCTGACTTGGTGTTTAAAAATGTGTTTCCTATCAAAGAAAGGAAGCTTTCTGTTCATGCTCTATTGCCAATTATGTGTATATGTACTTTCTAGTTCCATATTGTACTTGCTGAGTATTTTGATACTTTTATGTTTTATTTGGTTTTAGGTGCGCATTGAGACCGACATGCTTGGGCTGGAAGTAGCACCCATATATACACCTTTATCTGCACACTATCAATCTATATTGCCTAGGTCCATAATGACACTTAAACTATATCATGGTTCGGTCTTGTAATAATCTTTTAGATGTATTTTAGTTTCTTTTCATGGATTATAAGGATGGATCGCACTGTGGGAATGATATTATTATTAGTTTAACCCATAATTGCCTGTTGTGGAAGTCCGTATTTACAAGGGAAACTATCGAAATTCTTAATGAATTTAGGACTTAGTGGTTTCTATACCATAGTGTGTAGCATTCTAGGTATGAGAATACCTGGCATGTTACAGAGACCGACAACAATAGCCTGTGTTCTGCGGTGCCCTGCTCGAAATGAATCAGGAGGTAGTCCGTGTTGCGCTCACCCCAAGCGCGGTGTGTGGCGGAGCATCGGCGGCTCGGCGCCAGCATGGCCCTTGCGCTGCTGTGGCGAAGAGTGCGGGAACGACATGGAGCCACAGGGCCTAAGCGCATGGGCCCTCCTTGAACCCCCCCTTCCCCCCTAGAGGGCTACCTCATCGGCGGCAGCTGCGGTTGCAGCGTCAAAGGTGTATGCGAGCCGGACTTGGGCTGTGTTCTTCCACCCATTTTCCCAACCCAGCTCTCTCGTTTTCTGCGCACACGCTTTTCAAACTGCTAAACTGTGTGATTTATGAAAAAACTTTCTACATGAAAGTTGTTTTAAAAAATCTTATTAATCCATTTTTCAAAAAAAAAATAGTTGATACTTAGTTAATTATGTAATAAAACGAGCTTTGTTTTGCATGCCGGGGAGCCATGGTAGGCAGGGGAAAGTCATACTTTTGTTATTGTTTGTCTCTGCATTTCCTTTGGATATTATAAAATAATCTCGCAGGCCTCCAGTAGCTAATTACCAGTTTTTTCGGTGTCCTACAACAAATACACGTTCTTGCTGTGTCCCCGGCCAATTACACGTTTTTTAGATGTCGCTTAGCAAATTTTAACCTAAATAAAAGAAAATACTAAAATTTCTCACCAAAAATCAAAATATCCCAGCTTATCTTTTATAAAACTGGTAGACCCATTACTTATACCCCGTTAGACATCTAACGACTTTCTATCAACTTTTTCTCAGCTTGTATATAGGAGCTATTTAACCATACATTTTGATATTGAAGCTTTTATCAATAAATGATCATTTTAGGAGATAAACAATAATCTCAAGATGATCATAGCATCTAAATTATATATATAATATATGAAGTCACGTGGCTAGTTGAACAGCATACTGATTGATTGTACTGAGCGTGTTGGTTGCACCAAGGAATCTTAAGTATGAAACAAGCATGATGTGGCCTCAGCAATATATAAGCCAATTACAGATATGAATTAAAAGACTATATCCATTTTTTTTTTGTAAAACTTGCTACAGTACATCGTGAATTTGTGACACATAACATAGAACAATCTAGAAACATATAATTATTACATGATGCTCTAGTTTAGTGGTAATTTGCAAAGCAAATACTACCACATCTATTTTAATTTTTCTTACTTAATTGGAGCGAGATAATTTATAATTGATGCCTTTACCCCATGCCAGGTTGTAGGACCAACCCACTTATATTTTCATCCTGGCTTACAGACATCAAAGCATTTAAAAGATGCTTCTTAAAGTGGGTTTATCCAAAAAATGAAGATAAAAAGAAATGAAAATTGAATGAAATTTGTCTAATTTAAAATTTGTTTTTGTT